GATCAGTCTTTGCTGCCATTAACCAAAGACAGCTCTTTGAGAATTCCACTGGCGTCCACGCGCCGCCGCTCCCGGATCATGTCCTCCAGGCTGCGGAACACCAGCGTGTGCACCCCGCTGCCGGACAGGTGCACTTTGAGGAAATACTGCTGCTCGGCCGAGTGCGCCTCCCCGCCGGCTTTAAACTCCCGTTTCCCAAAGCGGCACCAGGCGGCGAAACTTTCCGAATTGGTCCAGCAAATCTCCTCGCTCCTCAGGCCCACGTGTCCCACCGCGTTCTGCATCACCAGGTCCGGAGGGAGCGGCCGGAATCGGTACCGATTGTTGACTATCCTCCCGCGCCGGCCGCCGCTTACCTCCAGCAGGCTGTCCTTCCGGATCTCGCCGCCCTTGTGCAGGTGAATGACCTGGTCGTCGTGCGCGTAAATGAGCCAGTGGGGCGCCTGCGCCGTGCCCACCAGCTCCAGCAGGTCCCCCGGTTTGCACATAGTCAGCAAAGTTTTGGCCGAGTACACGTTCAGGTCCTCGTTCTCCCGCAGCTTGGAGAAGATGCATTCCTGGGAGCAGAACGCCGAGTACTCCACCTCGCTGACCGAAAAGGGGCCCTCCTCCTCGGTCTGGCTGTGGTCCTTGGTGAAGCCGCAGTCGGACGGAGTGCGGTCGTCCACCTCCTCTTCTTCGTCAGAGAAAAAGTAGGCGACGCCGACCCGCAGCTCGTCCTTCTCCAGCCCGGACGGATCCCCCGTGGGCAGCTCGCTGTAGTTGAGGTGGGTGATCCGATCCAGTTGATTTCCCATCAATGACCTGGCAAGGCAGAGGCATGGACTGCGGTGTCTGGGGAGGGGGGGGGGGGTTAAAAAAAACAAACAAAAACAAACAAAGAAGGAAGGATTATCAACAAAACTCAAAGCGACACAGCTTTGCGCTCAAACGCAACATAAGCAGGGGTGAAAGATCTGAGTCACAGACTTAATTACTTATTTGTCAATCATTAAATATGTTGGAATGCACAAACACAAGCATGGATGAGAAAAAAAAACAACTTCCATCTGGAAGCTGCTGCGTAAAAAGGCCAGTCTGGTGTTTTTACGCACAGAACAATAAAAAGTGAGGAGGTACCTGTGCGCTCCCAGAGCAAACGATCAGATGTCCTGATGGTCCATGAGTACAGAGGGCTGCACAGTCCTCTGCTCCCCTTCTGCTGTCTTCAATTTCCTCTTTTCTTTTTTCTTTTTTTTTTTTGGTCCCCCTCACGCAGTCTGCGCACCACGCACCGGGGAGCTCCGGCTGTAGTGCGAGCTCGTCACTTCACCCCTCTCCCCGGCGCCCAGCTCCATTTAAGTACCACGGAGAGCTCCGCCTCTGCCGGCGCGCTCCGCCCTTTGGTGGAGTCCAGAACCGCCCGGGCCAATGGGAGCCGCGGCGGGGAGCACGACATTCATTCAAGGGGATCCAATCAGGCGCGTGCAGGGGGTGGCTGGAGCCGGCAGACGGCTGTTACCGTGGTGTGGTGTTTTTGTTGTCAGAGTGCTGAAGATGTCTCCACATGAGCAGCGCGACTTCACATTCAAGTTCGAGGCGTCAGTCAGGCGGGATTAAGACGCAGCATATGTCACAACAAGCTGACAAATCTGTAATGCTAAATGTTGCCCAAATGGCTCCCAGATCACGTGCGCACAAATTTTCACCTAGATAACCAGATTATGGTGTATATTAGACACTCTCTCCATGGAGATAATGCTTTTTGCCAACCACCAAAAGGCAAAAAGGCAGGCAATGAAGTCATTGCTTGTCTGGTTAGCAAAATATCTCATGAACGAATGAAACTCTTAGAAAGTAATCTGGATAAACCTCTACAACTGATGAACTTTTGGAGCCAATGATATCAAGATGGCCACCACAAGTAATCAATCTTAAAAAAAGTCTGTCACTTTTACAAATGTTGCTCTAAAATTTGGTTCAGATTAATTTGCAACACATACTTTTAGTAGATCAAGCAAGATTTTTGTTTGAGTGTTTGTGTGTGTGTGTGTGTGTGGGGGGGGGGTGTATGGATTTTTTTGGCACATATAGTTCACATCTATACCTCAATCAAAAAACTATACTTCAAATGTTATGAAAAGACTGTATAAATAAATTTGACTTTGCACCTAAATGCCTTGAAATTGGCCTCTGTCTCTTTAAGAACCTCCTACCATTCCAGACGCTCCCACTTCAGCACATCTTCACAATGTGTTGCAATGAAATCATGAACATCCACCATTTTAAAGATGGCTAGTCTGGTGGAGCTGTGCGGGGGAGAAGTGCTCTGTGCGGCAGGACTTCAGCTGTAGACTGAGCTCCAGGGAGGAGCTTTGGATAAATGGGTGGAGCTTTGTATGAGCAAGCTTTGATGTAGATCTACAGGTGATTTAAGGATTTCTCAAACACATAAATGAGTCAAAGCAACACTCTGGGTAGGTTTTTGATGAGGAAAAATGTAAGTTTTACATAACATCCCCTTTTAAAAACTTTGGTATTAATTGTTGTAATTTACTGTCACAGGTAGTTAGCAAGATACCTCGTGAACCACTGGACAGATTTGAATGAAACGTTTAGGTTGTAAGTACTGGATGTGCATCTACAATTCATTAACTTTTGAAGACAATCTAATTTAAGGTGGACATCACAGCTTACTGACCTTGGGAAACACAAACATGACTGTGACTCTCTGTTTTGTCTATATTAAGATAAAATTCAATTTTAGATTACAATTTAAAACTAATAATCCAGGAACACCATGCTTTTAATTTCTCTCTGCCTTGTGAATCTGTTCATCTTTTTTTTCCTTCTTGCAGCATCTGGAGAGCTGCTGTGGGTAGTTGCTTTCTTTTTTCCCTCCTCCCATATGTTTGGAGATAGCAGCTGACACAGAGCTGTCCCTTCCCTTTGTTTCCACTGGTGACAGGCAGAGTAAGCCGGAGCTTTTTCCAATATAAATGAGATATGATTGTATTACATTCACGCCAAAAGAGCAAAACATGCTCTTTCCATGCGTCCTCCTCTGTATTTACACCTGCAATGTGAGAGCAGGTTCTGATTGATTGCCTTTTACAACAGTGAAACTGGCGAGCAGGCCTGTGTAATTCATTTATGATGTATGTTGCCCTTTGTGCAGATCCGTGTACTTTAACTCCAGCTGAGAGTGGGAGAAACAACACTAGGTGATAAATAAGATTCTTTTTTTTCTGTGTAGTACACAAGCCGCCCCACACACATTGCATTGTGGGACCACCAGTAATGGTTTTAGCAGCCGCTCCTCTTGCTTCCTGTTCCTCTGTGGTCCTGCCACCTGTAATCTCTAATAAGCAGAACTGAGTTTCCTTTGAGGATACCGTCTTCCTTTGGACACAATCATACCCTTTATTCATTTTCATTTTCTTCAGTGTTTCCCCCTCACCAGCTTTTCCACACATTCACCTTATCATATATGCTGGTGCAGTAATAAGGCAGGTTGCAGACAGTACTGGAATAACTACGGAGACTTGGTGATATTTCACAACCCCAATAATTGGATATGTCTCTATTCCCTAATTACTGACTAAATCATTCACTCTGCTGCTCAATGCGATGCAAATAAGACAAACTAACAGGCGCGCACATTCAGTTAGCCACAAATTTATGCCTAAATGGATTTAAACATCAATGTGTCTGTTTGTCTGTCGGACATGTAACCACTGAACTGAGACATGCACAAGTGCACAAACCCTCGATGCCTGAAAGAGGTGGTTCAGATGCTTTGAAGTGGAGTTTTGTGGAGAGATTATGGACAATTATTACTTCTTGTTGATAGCTCTCTGAACAACCTCAATTTGGAGATACAAGGTTTATTTCTGACCAGACATGATAAGAGCCAGTATGGTCTGTTCAGTGACAGGCCATGAGTGTACAATTCAATGCTGTTTTCCACTACGATTGATGGTAATTTACTGTGTATTACCTACAGCTACATGCATTTACCATACAGTTATACATAATTGATCATATTCCTAAACAAAGCTATGGTAAGACTACTGCATCACACTAGAGTTTGAGTGTAGGATGCATAAAGTGTTGAGTTTGACACATGATCTAACCCCACTGTCTACATCTGGCTGGTACCTGTTGCTGCCGTACACACATTTCTCATTTTATTTCACAGTGAAAGAGACAATCATTTTGCTAATTGCAAGAAACGATTAAACTAACAACTAAAACCATTCTGTCGTCTAAGGTTTCAAGTAAACATATTTCCTGTGATTTGCTGATGTAAGCTAAAAGTGCCCTGTAGTCTGAGTGGGACCAAGATCTTTGCTGCAGTCTTAAAATAACATCAAACTTCAAACCTTTTAGTTGCCGTCAATTTCACATTAAATAGTTACTTAAATAGACTTCTGTGGTTTTTGAGCACTTATAGCAGAAGTTGCAGTCAGTTTTAGCATTTCTTTCTCAGCCTGGGGCACTTCCAACAGGAATATAATGTGACACTTGTTGTAACAGGGCCCGTGCCTGGCATAGGCAGTATAAGCAAATGCTAAAGGCTCCCACATAATTGAGCGTATTGTCCATGAGCCACATGAACTCCGCTCATACTGTCTGCGGATGGTTGAGAAGTCATACTCGAGTGTACTGATCGCCTGACAAATTCTCTCACATTTTCAGTCATGGCATCAATGAACAAGGAGGAAGACACCGCTTGCATTTTAGCTTTAAAACAACAAAAGAAAATAACTTACCTTACCCAGGGTCTGAGATGTCCTTCCATGATTTTTTTTGCTCTCTGAAAGTCCTAATATTTCCTCGTTGATGTATGATATAGTTTTAATGTTTTCTAATCTCCTCTGTGAGACGCTCTTTTGAATTTCATTCAATTTCATCCACAAGATGATGCCGATTCTCACCTTTATCCGCTTGGTGTTGCATCCAACAATGTTTGGCGTGAACTCGTTGGGCAGTTTATTGTGCGAGACCACGGACACACACTAACCTCTGTGTGGAACTGTCCAGCAGACAGATCTTACCTAGGTTGTCAAATTGGCTAGAGCCCTGTGTGGTAAAGTTAAGATTTATAAAATAGAGTTTGCATTGACTGCTGCAAAATCTTTGAAACCAGAGTTTAAAGTGTTTAAATTCAGCAGCTGTCCTTTAAGCTTGGCTTTGCTCAAGCTGCTAGCTTAAGCTCCTTCATCTGGTCAGAATTAAACTCGGTTTCTCCAAACTGAAGTCTTACAAAAAGCTATCCACAGCAGGTAAGATATTAAATGTTTATAACCTTTTCACAGAACCTCACTTCAAAAGATCTGACCTCCTGTGCATCCGTGCACACATGCTGACAGGAGTTTTATGAAAAGTCAGGCTGAAAGAGTTTTGGGAATATAAAAATACATATATTTTTAAAACACAGCACACCATCTAATGTTAAACCAGTGAGGCACAAGATTTGTTCACCCCCATGTAAATCTGCTTTAGTGTTGTGTGTCGAACGCAGCAGTGAGAAGCTTTTTTCGGCTCTTTCTGATCTCTGGTTAGTAGACATGCTAACCTTCATAAGCCCTGCATCATCTGCAGGTAATTTCATTTCTCCTGCCGTCAGGTGGTATTTTAGAATTTTATCCCCCAGATCACAAGCTTTTTGAAAAAAACATCCCTTTTCTTCACGTTTATAAACACCAATGTACCAGAAAGTACCCCTGTAAGCTTTTTTTAGTGATAGTCTATTGATCCCAGTGAGGGGAAAAAATAATCCTTTTCCTTGTATCTTTCTGAGGAGGTCAAAGAGCAGGGTCAGCTACAGAGCGGTGACAGGGAGAAATATTACAGCATTTGGCTGCAGTGGTTTTATAGTTGTCGGAGACGACTGCTTGCAGTGTAAGGAGCAGTTTTGTGATCTATTCTGTGAAGATCCAAACACAACCGTCAGCAGAAGAGCCAGGCTGTGTGCCGCTCCATCAAAACATCCTCTACTTTGACCTTTACATCATCAGTGTCACATGTTGAAGCACTGCTGCTGTCGTTTGCTTTTTTTCCCCTCTGCCATAAAAGGTTATCATGTGATTGCCTCTGTTTGTGTGCATGTGTTTTTGTTAGTAAAATATCCAGTGGACCATTGAATAAATTTTTTATAAAAAACCTAGAAAGTAATCCTTAGACATACAGTAACAAATGAAAGTTAAGATGTGTTATTGACTGTTGAAATCAAGAAAAGGTTGCAAAAAAAAAAAAACACAAGATGTATGAATATAATGGCATTTATATCCTCCTTTATGTCATGGTATTATCAGTTTTTCTACACTATCA